TTGTTATTTTTATCTGCAGGAGATTACTGAGTTATTGGAGAAGAATGGTAAAATTACACTAAAATTTGTGGGGGTAAATATGGAGCGTCACCATCGTCTGCTTAACAACTGTACCAAGCAAGTTAGTGATAAGTCTGAATTTATATGTAAAGCCCAACATTTGCTGCATGCAACACAGTTTATACAGGAGTCAATGGATCTTGAGCTACATGTTGCATGAAATAGGAAACAGTTGTATTTCATGCAACATTTTGCAAGCTCCATTGACTCCTGTATAAACTGTGTTGCATGCAACAAATGTTGCATAGTGTATGCTGGGCTTTAGTCGAACCTCTCAGTCTCTTTTAAAGACCTCTATATAGTATGATTTATACCTACTTGTACCCTTAAAATATACCTACCCAATCATATCACTGAAAGCATTTTAGGGTGATGTGGAAAGAGTGAAATCAATCCTGCAAGATCTGAGTCAGTTTCCACCAACAACTAAAGTATGATCTATGTATGTTATAAATAGACATTTGCTATTAATTGTTTCCAGTTTGAGCTCTGCTGTCAGGTCAATGGGCATATCTTATTAAAGGATTATGAAACAGCTCTGTCTCTGGTCTCATCTGTGAATGAGGAAAAGAATCAATCTTTAATGATACCAGAGACTGTCTTAAAGGAGTTTAATGATGTACTGGAGAAAGAAGAAAAAAGAGAAGAGTTACAAAGACTACAAGTGATTTTACTTGAGTTTGTGAGTCTGTTTTTATTGTTGTTATTTTTATTTGCAGGAGATTACTGAGTTATTGGAGAAGAATGGTAAAATTTCATTTAAAGTTGTGATGCAAAATCTGGAGCTTTACTATCATAGGCTCAACAACTCTATCAAGCAAGTTAGTGATAAGTCTGAATTCATATTTATTTAGTCAAACCTCTGAATCTCTTTTTAAAGACCTGTATGTAATACGATTTACCTTAAGGAGACAATTGTTTGCGGGTATTTAATTTAGCGAATTTTAGCGATTTTTAAAAAATCGCTAACTTAAGTCCACGCTAATTTTAATTTCTTAATTAAAACGGGTCACAATGAATAAAATGGTGTCCGTCAGCAAGTCTGAGCTTATTTGCTGCAAAGGGTCAGCAAGATAATACTAAACTGCTGTCCAAAGGTTTCTCTAGCAGTTAGCCTAGGTT